ATAATAAAATAATATTAAAAGTTTAGGAGAAATTACGAAAATGCCATTGGGACTTTCCTATAAATAGGGAAGCTGAAAACCATAATTTTCATCCCAAATCTTCTTCTCTTCTCTCTTCCTCTCTTATACACCTTGAGATCTGTTCTCGGTAGTAGTAGTCTCCTAATTCAAAGGAGTAAGTTATAGAGAGAGAAGTGTTGTAATTTCCTCCCTTTCAGTAAATAATATTTTTACTGTGGTTATTTTCTCCATTGTCTCTTTTTACTCATCTCTTGTTTTAGCTGTGAGTAACTATTAAGCCTACTCTGGACCTAACATAAACATGATGACAAACCTCATTCCGAAGCTCAGCATAGTAAACAGATCCAAAGCCACCTTGACCAATTATATTACCCACGCTAAAGCCATCAGTAGCCTTGGCTAGCTCCTCATATGAGAACTCCACTGACTTATCCACTGTTATCCCTGTCAACCTTGGAGAAGCAACAGCAGAAGATTCTGATGTCTTGTCCAAGCTGCTTCCAATACCTAAATCCATGTAATAGATAAGATTTATATTATAGTTTCACATTTTGTTTTTTTTTTAAAGAAAAAACAAAACTGAAGCCTAGAATTAATATTACATTTAATACAAAAGTTAGAGTTTAATTTGTAACTATTTTTACATCATTAACCAATTAAAATCACCTGACACACTATTTTTAAAGTAATTATTTTAGAAGTCAGCAATCTTACCATATATGGTACATCTATAATTGGATGAGGGTATAAAAATCTTTTACACTATTAATACATTGTAATTAAATTCAGTAAGTGATCAACCGTCACTCAACATTCAAGCACCAAAGTATGGAGACAAGGTAAGGAAAAGAGAGCTGCTACTAAACCATGTATCCTTGGCAGAACAGTTTGCAGCTAACCATCATGATATATAATTGATAAAATAAGAAGGAATGTTTTAGAAGCATTTATATCTACACATTAATAAAAGTTTTAAAATAAAATTAAAAAAAAGCATTAAAACAAAGGCATACCAATACCATGATTGAGTGGACTACAGTGATCTCCAGATGCTCCTGGGAGTGGGAGAAGGGGTGCCTCAGCCACTTTCCTTCTTCTGTTTAGTCCAACATATATAAGAAGTGCCAAAATTAAGATCCCAGCAGCTCCTCCAACAGCTACGCCAGCAATGGCTCCACTAGACATTCCTATTTAAATTTAAGAACAATGTCAGTATCTCATACCAACATTTTGGCTTGTCATGCTTCACACATATATAAACATGCACTTTGCAGAATGTCCACAGCACCTGATGATCTGAAAAAAAAAAAAAAAAAAAGGAACAGGTTCTGGAGTTAGACAACTCAAAAGAAATTATTTTCAAGAGCAAATTTCAATGCTCAAATCAAATTGGTCAAAAAAAATAGGATGTAAACTTTTTTTTTTTTTTTTTTTTTTGAAAAGAAGGATGTAAACTTAATATAAATTTGAGCTCACCCCAGCTGCATTGGTGGAAAGCTTCCATTTTCATCTGCGATTAAGGATTTAAAATATAAGAGATCAGAAAGTAAAACTGTGCAAAATAGCAACTATAATCAAACATGAGGCCACAAATTTGGAATGTCAAGTGATACAGTTTTGGAATCATTTGACAACACAAATTTGAGACAACTGTATCAGGCCATGGATCCTTGTTCCTCCTAACAGCACCAATAATAGGAGGGTAATGGCTCCCAGACCCAAAATATTAATTTCTATTTTTTTTTATTAGCCACTTTCTTCATTATTTTAAGGCCATTTAGATACTTTGTTACACTTATTTGTGGATAGTCCAATTTGATATAAATAATAGGGCATCCTCTTTGGTGATTTTTTAGAGATTAACTTACAGTCCATTTTTCCCCTATACTTAAATAAAATGATAAGTATACAAAATCTTCGAAGTCTTGTTTAATTTTTTATAACATATATACTATTTTACATTAAATATTTTTTTATGAAAAATAATTTCAAATATATCCTCGATAAAATTCTATTGCCAAAATAGGCCGGGGCAAATGAACGCTTAATAAGAAAGAAATGATATATTTAAATAGTACTGTTTCTAACTTTTTAACTTGTTATACATACTTAGGTTATGCTAGGGTTATTATTTTTATATGATTTATAAGTTTTTTTTATTTTAAATCAAAGTTCAAAATAGAATTTTAAAAAACAATATTATTTCTTGTACATCTACGTCAAGTTTCTTTTTATTGTTAGTGGACTAATACGTCATCTGTATTAATTCATAACTATAATAATAATAAAAAGTATCTCTTTTCGGTCTTCATATTTTATTAGTACGTTTATTTTTTATTAAATAATAAACTATTTACTATACCTATTATTCTCTTTCACCCTCATTTTTTTATTTAACCTCTTCCTTGTCTTTCTTTTCATTTTTTTTTTTTAATTTTAAGAATCCTAGTAATTAATAACGAAGTTGGCCCACAAAAGATATAGACGTATTTCTATTTTGGAATTTATATCGGATGTGGGATTGTTATAAAAGAAACGGTAATAACAGAAGAGAAACATATACTTTGTAATGTATTATCATTTATTAGTTAAAACTTACTAAAAAATTATAAAAGTACGGTATTTCATTTTTTTTCATGAATCTTATTCATAATTTTTAATCAATAAAAATAAAATAAATCAGTCCATCCACTATGGTATAAAAGGATTTTTCAATTTTTATCTAATTACAAATTATCAAATATGATAGTTTTATTATTTTTGCAACAACTATTTTAAAAGTGATATCTTTCATGATTTTTAATTAATTGGTTATATAT